TTTATTTTTGACAGAGAGAGAGACAGAGCATGAGCAGGGGAGGGGCAGAGAGAGAGGGAGACACAGAATCCGAAGCAGGCTCCAGGCTCCGAGCTGTCGGCACAGAGCCCGACGCGGGGCTCGAACCCAGAAATGGTGAGATCATGACCTGAGCCGAAGTCGGCCGCTTAACCGACTGAGCCACCCAGGCGCCCCAAATGTAGTTTAATTTTAATTAATTTGGGGTTTGAGAGCCATACGTGGCTAGTGGCTACCATGGTGGAAGGCACAGATACAGAACATCTCCTTCATCACGGAAACTCTGATGGGGCAATGCTGCATTAGAAGGCCCCACCTAGGGGCTCAGTCAGTTGAGTGTTCAATTTTAGCTCAGATCATGATCTCGCGGCTCATGGGTTCGAGCCCCACGTCGGGCTCTGGGCTGATAGCATGGAGCCTGTTCGGGATTCTCTGTCTCACTCTCTCCACCCCTCCCCTGCTTGCACTCTTTCTCAAAAATAAATAGACGCTAAAAAAATGTTTAAAAAAAGAAGGTCCCACACATCACAAACGCACACACCTTTACTAAGCACACAGGCATCTCTGTCCCCACCTGCTTTTGTGACTAACCCGGTTCAGGCCCTGGGGAGACCATTCTCCCCACCTCTTGCTCTATGACATGAAAGGAAAATATGGCCTACACACACACACACAACAGAATATGATCCAGTCTCCGCAAGGAAGGACGTCCTGCCACCTGCCACCATGTGGACAGACCGTGAGGACACTGTGCACGGTGACAGAAGCCAGACAGAGAAGGACATGTCCTGCATGACCCCACTCACAGGAAGTTCCTAGAGGAGTCCTGTCCACAGAGACAGACAGTAGACGGTGGGAGCCCCTGGGGTGGGGGGCAGCAGGGGGCAGGGAGAGTCAGCGCTTCGTGGGAACAGAGTCCCGGTTTGGGGAGATGGAAAGTTCTGGAGCCGGGTGGTGGGGGTGGCTGCACGACAGTGTGTGTGTGCCTGATGCCTCTGGGCTGTGCACTCAGAGATGGTGAGCTTTATGTTGTATTTATCTCGCTACAACAGTAAGAAAAAACAAAGTCATGAGCACTAGCAGTCATTCCCCATCTCGACCCACATGTTTTCCTAATGTTAATAAAAATTTTTAATATTTTAAGAAACTTTTTAGAAACACATGAAAAATAACGTTGCTTTCTCCACGTTTTACACTCACTCAGCATCTCTGGTGAAAATACACCTGTTTTGTACCTTTGGGCTTTACCCACATCTCCTGGATAGATCCTTACCTCAGCCTTTCTCCATTGGGGTTCCAGCAGAAATGAAGGCCTCACGCCCCCGGGCACCCATGTGGGTAAGAATGCACACCCCTCTGAGGATCCGTCCCTGCGGGGACTCAGGCTCTGGACGCCATCACGTCATGTGCTCTGCAGTCCAGAGGCAGAAGCCTGACGGGAAAGCGGCCGTGTTCCTTTGCCACGGCTGCCGTTACGGAGGGCCAGCGACACAGTGGCTCCAACACCAGATATTCATCGTCCCACAATTTTACAGGCTGGAGGTCCAAGACGGAGGAGTTGGCAGGTTTGGTTCCTTCCGAGGTATCTCTCCCGAGCGTGCAGACACCGTCTTTTCCCCCGTCCTCACACGGTCGTCCCTCCGTGGGTGTCTGTGTCCTCGCCTCCTCTTACAAGGACAGCAGTCAGACCGGATCAGGGCCCACGTTTGCGACCGCATTTTGACCGAATCACCCCTTTAAGGACCCTCATCTGCAAATACAGTCACATCTGAGTGGGATCTTGGGGTTTAGGACTTCAAGAGATAAACTTTAGGGGGACACAAGTCAGCCCATCCATGACAGCTGCTTCAGGGCATTTCCGTAACAAAACTCGAAAGGACGTGAAAATCTTGATTACTGCAAACATCATTCATGCTGAAACTGAGGCACCTAAGAGAAATTTCACAGAATATAGAATCATTTCTGAATTAGTATGTCTTCATCTTATTTAAGACATCCAGGCAGCACTAGCCCATCAACAGCATGCCGGCACGCGCAAGAAGAAATAAACTCAGTCATCTCTGGTGTTCCGCCAGCCACAAAACCCTTAGCCTCTCTGTTGTTGTTGCTAGAAAGGTATGTTTGTCAGGGTAGGTAGGATAAACATACCGTATGTAACTTTTTGCCAGCTTGGTTTGTAACGTTGCAATATTGAGACATCTGGCGTGCAGGCTTCCGTTCACTTCACGCTCTCCTCCCGGGGCCTCCCAAACTTCAAGGCTGATTACCTACTTGTCTGAATACGTCACAGCTCACCTGCCTCTCTTCCCGTTGGTAGATATTTATATTACGTGTTAGTTACGTATCGCTGAGTCAAAAATTATCCCCGGTGATGTGGTTTCAAACAGTAATATCTGTCTTCACGGTGTCTGTGGGCCAGGAATTCGGGACTGGCGTGGCTGGGCTCCAGCTCACCGACCTTAGGAGGTTGCCAACTAGACGCTGGCCGGGACGGCATCACTGAAGGCGTGGCCGGGGCAGCGGGCTGTGCGTCTGGGATGTTCCCTCACGCGGTTGGCAGTTCGGTGCTGGCTGTTTGCGAGAGGCCTTGGATCCTCCCGTGCGGGCCTTCCCAGCACTGTGTTCTTACAATGTGGCTATTGGCTTCCGCCAGAGAGAAAACCGAGACGCCAGGGGTGGGGGCGCCCAGGCCGAAACTGGACTTGTCATGGCCCAGCCTCAGAAGTGGATCACACGGCCGAACTCTTGCCACACTCCGCTGGTGAGAAGTGAATCACCGCAT